CATCTGGACAGAACAAATGCAACTCTACATCTGGCCCCAGATGTGCATGTCTCTCTTCCTTTCCTTCCTTCCTTCCTGCCTTTTTTGGCATGTATGTCAGCTGCCTATGTATTTTCATCTTATTTGGCTTTCTTTTTCTCAGAAAAGTAGAATTTGAGCATTAGAGCATATAGCTCCTGGACAATGGGATATGGCTGCCCTTCTGCAAACTTCTTGTCTTTTTCCAAGTGGTTGTCTTACCCTTCAAAAAGATAGCTCTCTTTCTGCTATCTTCTGTTCAGTTCCTGTTTCATAGATCCTTTTTGCCACAGGCTCTCGCTCTCGCTCTCTCTCTCTCTCTCTCTCTCTCTCTCTCTCTCTCTCTCTCTCTATATATATATATATATATATATATATTGTCATTCTGAAGGAAACCACAAAGCAATCAAGGCAACCACTATGGCAGCCACTTATATTCATATGTGTATTTGAACATAGTCTTCACAGAAAATTTTCATGCTCTTTAAAACATAGTTTACAGCCCATAACCTCTAAGCTTAAGCCATTTAGTGTTAATGTGGCTGAGTATAGACACTACTTACTTGGATAGTTTTACCAAAAAAAATGTTTTACTATTTCATCCCCATTGCATACTTGTGTAGTATGAACTATGGGTTTTCAATATTACTATAGAGATGGGCAAATGCAGGTGTGACTCTAATTCACGTATAAAGAGAAATATAAACAAGACACAACTTGGAGATGGTATCTTTCTTTACCTCTGTGAACCAAAAGACATACAATACCATACTTACTCACCTCATTACAATTAAGTTTTGGCAACTCTGTGAATGATAATTGCCTTAATTTACTAAGGCCTGAAATTTGCCTGGCCTACCCCTGAATTTGTGATCCATCACCTTTCTTCACTCCTTTGTACCTCCTATACGAGGGATAATATTTTTCTTTTCTACCTACTACTTTCATTCCAGTAGCCCGAGTTTCCTCAATTGTTTTATAAGATACATCTTGGACTCTACTAACTCTACTAAAAGAGAGCGGACAATATCATACATTTTAATAAACTGCTAAAGAAAATTCAGTAGAAAGTAGTGACTACAAAAACAATAAAAAAGATCCATGAAACTAAGGTTTGGCTATTTGAAAAGATAAACAAACTTGACAAAACCTTATAGCCAGACTAACTTCTCTGGAGAGAAGATTCAAATAAATAAAATCATAAAGGAAAGGGAAGACATTACAGAAATATAAACTGACATCACAAAAATATAAAGGATCATAAGAAACTACTATGAAACTACTATGAACAATTATGTATCAACAAACTGGATAATCTAGAAGAAATGGATACATTTCTAGAAACATACAATGTAACAAGACTGAATTTAAAAAAATCTGAATGGACCAATAGCAAGTAAGGAGATTGAATTAATACAAATCTCCCATTAAGGAAAAACCCAGGACCTGATGGCTTCACAGCAGAATCCTACAACACATTTAAAGAAGAACTAATATCACTCCTTCTCAAACTCTTCCAAAAAATGAAAAAAGAAAAAATACTTCCAAATTCATTTCATGAGGCCAGCATTATCCTGATGCCCAAGCCCAACAAGGATACTACAAAATACTACAAGAAAAGAAAATTACAAGCCAAAATCTCTGATGAAAAAAGATGTAAAAATCCTCAACAAAATACTAGCAACCCAAATTCAACAGCACATTAAAAGAATCATTCACTATAATCAAGTGAGATCTGTCCTTGGGATGCAAGGATGGTTCAACTAATGCAAATCAGTAACTATGATTTACCATATCAAAAGAATGAAGGACAAAAACTATATGATTATCTCAGTAGATGCAGGAAAAGCATTTGAAAAATTCAACATTATTTCATGAGAAAAACTCAAAAAATAGGCATGTAAGGAATGTATCAACACAATAAAAGCCTACAGCTAACATCATACTTAATATACAAAGTTGAAAGATCTTCCTCTAAGAACAGACACAAGACAAGAATGTCCACAATGACCATTTCTATTTAACATAGTACTGGAAGGTCTAAGAAGAGGAATTAAATAAGAAAAAGAAATAAAAGGCATCCAAGACCTTGAATAGCCAAAGCAGTCTTGTGCAAAAAGAACAAAGCTAGAGGCATCACATAAAGATTGCAAAAAACCAGTTAAAAAACAGGCAAAGGGCCTAGCAGACACTTCTCAAAAGAAGACATACAAATGACCAATATAAATATGAAAAAATGCTCATCATCATTAATCATCCAGGAAATGCAAACTAAAACCAAAATGAGACATCAGCTGATACCTGTTAGAATGACTGTTGTCAAAAAGACAAAAGATAAGTATTAATGAGGTTATGAAGAAAAGGGAACACTTGTGCACTGCTGGTGGGAATGTAAATTAATATAGTCATTAAAGAAAACAGTATGGAACTTCTTCAGAAAATAAAAAACAGAATTATCACATGAACAAACAACCCCACTTTTGGGTCTATATCCAGAGGAACTGAAATCAATATACTGCAGAGGTATGAGCAACCTAGGTGTCCATCATCAGATGAATGGATAAAGAAAATGTGGTATAAATACACAATGGAATACTACTTCGCTTTTTTTTTTTTTTTGAGTTGGAGTCTCACTCTGTAGCCCAGACTGGAATACAGTGGCGGCTCCCGACCACCGCAGCCTCGACCTGCTGGGCTCCGGCGATCCTTCCGCCTCAGCCTTCCAAGTAGCTGGAACTACAGGCGCGCGCTACCTCGCCCGGCTAATTTTTTGATTTATTGTAGAGATGAGGTCTCGCCAAGTTGCCCAGGTGGGTCTCTCCAACCTGCGGGCTCAGGCAATCCACTCACCTCAGCCTCCCAAAGGCGCGGGATTACAGGCTGAGTCACCGAGCCCGGCTACTACTTAGCTTTTAAGTAAGAAGAGAAATCCTGTTATCTGTGACAACATGGATGAACCTCGAGGATATTATGCTAAGTGAAATAAGCCAGGCACAGATAGACAAATACCTCATGATCTCTCTTATATGTGGAATCTAAAAAAGTTGAACTTGTAGAAGTAGAAAACAGAATGATGGTTACCAGAGGCTAGGGGAGAGGGCTGTCTTAGTCCATTTAGTGTTGGTAAAAAGGAATACCTGAGGCTGGGTAATTTAAAAAGAAAGAGGTTTATTTGGCTTATGGTTCTGCAGGCAGTAATGGAAGCATGGCACCAGCATCTGCTTCTGATGAAGTTTTCAGGTTATTTCCATGCACACAGAAAGGAAAGGGAGCTGGTGTGTGCAGAGATCACACAGTGAGAGAGGAAACAAGAGAGAGGGAAGGAGGTGCTGGGCTCTTATCAACAACGGGTTTCATGGGAACTAATAGTGAGGACTCACTCTCCCCCACCCACACCCCGACGGACATTGATCTACTCATGAGGAACCTACACTCATCACCCAAACATCTTCCATTAAGTCCCACCACCAACATTGGGTATTACATTTCAACATGAGATTTGGAGGGGACAAATATTCAGACTCTAGCAGAGTGGATGGAAAAAAGATGCTGATCAAAGGGTACAAAGTTTCAGTTAGATGGGAAGAATAAGCTTTAGTAATCTACTGCATAGAATATTCACTATAATAAATAATAACGCACTGTATATTTCAAAATTGCTAAATGAGATATAAAACCTTTTCACCACAAAAAAAGATAAGTATGCGAGGTGATAGATTTGTTAATTAGCCTAATTTAATCATTGCACATCGTAACATATATCAGACCATTATTATTTATCCCCATAAATATATATAATAATTATTTGCCAATTAAAAATGTAATGGAAAGGCAAACTCCCACACATCCTTCAAGACCCAAATACGACCTTCTCTGTGACATTTTGGACTGGTCATTTCTCCTGACTATATCTCCCTTCTCCCACTATGTTTTGTATTCTGCTTCTGTTATGACTCCCATTCCATTGAGGGCATATAATTATATATCTGCCTTTCTCTCCACCAGGATGGGAGCCTGTCAAGAGAAGGGGCCCTTATTTTTACACAGAAGATACTGAATCCATGGACGAAATGGAATTAAAGAGCAAAATTTTATTTTATTTTATTTTTTGAGTTAGGGTCTCGCTCGGTTGCCCAGGCTGGAGTTCAGTGGTATGCTCAAGGCCACCACAGCCTGCACCTGCTGGGTTCAGGTGATCCTTCTGTCTCAACCTTCCAAGTAGCCAGAGTCACAGGCACACGCCACCATGGCTGGCTAATTTTTTGATTTATTGTTGCCAGACAGATCTCGGACCCTTGAACTCAGGCAATCCTCTCATCTCGGCCTCCCAAGGTGCTGGGATTACTGGCTTGAGCCACTGTGCCTGGCCCAAGAGCAAAGTTTTATAAAGGAGGAGATAAACATCCACTCTGTATCTGAATTGGTTTTGTTTGAGTAGTTCTCAAATGTTAATGGATGTCCTCTGATGTCTTATAAATCCTATAACAATGTTAGTCATGAACATATTAGGATTTCATACTATCACAATCCAATTGAAATGCATTTATATGACTCTTAGATATGTGTAGGACATGGTGCCAAGTTGCTGAATATAGATTTTTGGGGCTTTACATTTTTTTGTCTTGTTTTTAAGACAATAAAGCCATGATTGAGTCACTGAGCTTCAGTGATAACAAAATGAGCATCCAAGTCATCTTGCAAACTCTTTCTCTTATAATAGTTATTTAAGATATTTTAAAAATTACAACAGCAAGCAATGAATTAAGATTAAAATACTACGTTCTCTGGATCATGCTAAAAATAAAATTGCTTTACTTACCTTTTCATAACTTTAATTATACAATTAAGTAGATGGTGAAACTTTTTTAAACATCAAAATGAGTAACAAGAAAAAATAACTAAATCTGATACCTCAAGGATAATCCCCTTTGGTTAGGTGCACTTAAAATATTAACCATCTTAGATCACATTGAATACCATACCTGTCCTGTGTATGCAAACTCCAGAGCCTGCTTTAAGCCAAGACTGGTCACACCATGTAAATTCACCTCATCAGCTCCACTTTCCACCATACAAAGACTGAACATTGCCTGAGGTGAGGGAAGAAAGAGACAGAATTATGAAACTTAGAAAGTTTCTTAGGAACAACATTGCCAGGTGTGGTGGTTCAGGCCTGTAGTCCCAGCTCTTTGGGAGGCCAAGGCAGGAGGATTGCTTGAGACCAGGAGTTTGAGATCATCCTGGGCAACATAGTGAGAACCTGTTTCTACAGAAAAATTAATAAATAGATAAAACATAAAAATTTTAAAAAGAGAGAGAGAAAGGGAATAAGACAAAGAAGATAAAGTCCTAGAGAGACTAGAAAAGAAATTTTACAAATTAAAGACTGATCTTGATTTCTGAAACGCTCTACAAGGTAACATTTATGCAAGTCCCTGCAGATCACTTTGATATGTAACCAGTTACAGTAACAATGCACACTTGTGCCTTAGGATCATTGAACTCTTTCTCTTGATCCTAGGCTCTCACTGCTACCAAGTAACATGCAACAATCCTGAACATTCTGGTCAACAGGACAAGGAAAGTGGCACCTTCATCTCCTGACCTCTGCTATTTTTTCTGCCTCAATCCAACAACATCTTGTTTCTCTCATAGGCCATGCCACACACACTCCACGCCAGCGGTTCTCAAAGTGTGGTTTCTGGACGAGGCAACACCAGCAGCGCCTGGGAATTTGCTAGAGAGCAGGTTTTCAGGGTCCCACGGCAGACCTCCTGAACCAGAAACTAAGAGTGGGGCCCAGCAATCTGTGTGGCCACAGGCTCTGCAGGTGACTCTGATGCCCATTTGAATTTGAGAGCTACTAAGTTATTCAGTGCAAATCAATTTGCTCCCAACCAATTCTCCAAATGATCAACTTACTGAAAATCAGTTCTTCCATGAATGATCAGTACGTCAAATGAAAACTTGAATATTAAAAAAATTAAAATTTGTCAAATTAAACAAATGCATGGATTTTCTTAAAAAAAAGTAAAAGGCAAAAAATAAAAGAAACAAATGAAAAATAAACAGTAAAAAATATGGACTTTGCAGCAACTTGGATGGATTTAGAGTCGATCATACTCAGTGAACTGTCACAGAAACAAAGAACAGCGTACCATACGCTTTCACTCATAAGCAGACCTGGAACAATTATTATAATACTATAAGAAAGGGATTGGCAGTAGTGGGAAACTGCCAGGAGAGTAGGGGTTGGGGACTGGTAGTTGAGGGAAACTGTTAGGGGAGGGAGGGGCACACCTCATCAACAAGGGTACCTGCATAATCAATGTTTGTATACCTAACCCTGAATTGTACTCATCTTTATAATAAAAAAAAAATCAAACCCCACACTAATTTGTACACCTTTAACAAGACTGACTTATCAAATATAAGGAGAACATTCAATTTGGTTATTGATTATGAAATGCATTATTCAAAAAGTATGCTTCTGTGTAGTAAATAATAATAAACTTTGCTGAAAAGATGTCTGGCCTTTGACCTTGGCTTCTGGAACTCTCTAGAACCTTGGAATGTCCTGACTGATAGGAGTGTCTTGCTTGCCTGAGGGCTTTGGTTGCCAACAGTCTAGTCATGTGATTTGTGACGGGGCTTTGGGGTATACCATGTCAATACTGGGTTTGGCTTTTGTTTTGTTTTGAGACAGGGTCTTGCTCTGTTGTCCATGATGGTCTCCAACTCCTCCCACCTCAGCCTCCCGCATAGCTGGGATAATAGGTGCACTTCACTGTGCTTGGCCACCATAACAGTTTTCACTTCCAGAGGAACTGGAGCGTAAAGGATTCACTCAAACTCTGTGAAAGGATGGAGACCAAAGGTTAGTCACAGAAGCAGGATGTGGTTGAGCCCCAATAAAAACTCTGGCATAGAGAAGCTTTCAAGGCTGGTAATCCCCTGTGTATGCTGTTACCTACTGAGTCCAGTAAGAGATAACACTGTCTATTACTCCACAGGAGGAGGACAATGAGAAGATTCATAATTACTTCTCCTGTGGACTCTGCTCTGTCTTTTCCCATGGCTGGTGCCAATTTGTAACCTCTCTGTGAAATAAAACATATCTGTCAGTATAAAGCTTCCAGTTCGTTCTGTGAATCTTTCTAGGGAATTATCAACCCGAGGGTGGTTTGGGGAAATCCTTCAAACTTGCAATTGATGTAAAAAACTGAAGTCTTGTGGGAACTATTCCCTCAGATTTTGTATTTTGCTAACTTCAAAAAAGTTAACTTCATGGTAGTTAAAGAAAAACAAACACACTTCACTATTTTATGTGTAATTAGCTCATGCTAAATATTTTTATTTTAAAAAATGTGGCCAGGGGTAGTGGCTTATACCTGCAATCCCAGCACTTTGGGAGGCAAGGCGAGAGGATTGCTTGAGCCCAAGAGTTAGAGATCAGCCTAGTCAGCACACCGAGACCTCATCTCTATACACAATAAATAAATAATATAATATAAAAATATTATTTTTTTCTTTTGCCAATGTATTAATTTGCATCTTGTGACAATTTATTTTTATTTATTATATTTGTGAATAATTTCAGGGCACATATGATAATTTAATACATTCATAATTTGTAAAATATCAAATCAGAGTATTTGGGATATCCATCACATAAAACTTTGTCTTTCCTTGATGCTATATATATTTCAGTTCAGTTCCAAGAGAGTGTTTATAAGTCCATCTGTTGTAAGTTCAACAAATTTAGCCTAGATATACAACTAACATAATTGGCTATATAGTACTGTACGCATTTAACAGGCTGTACTGTCACCTGGTGGGCAGAAATACATTAAAAGAAGGTATGGGTGCATTGTTAAAGTTCGCAACTTGAAGATTGGTATGTAGGGGACTTACTGTATATGCAAAGGAAATGAAGCTAGTATCTCAAATAAATTGCTGCACTCCCATGTTCATGCAGCATTAGTCGCAACAGCCAAGGTATGGAAACAATCTAAGTGTCTGTTGATGGATGAACAGATAAAGAAAATGTGAGATACACTCACACACACATGTGCATGCACAGTGGAACATTATTCAGTCTTAAAAAAGAGGGAAATGTTACCGTTTGCAACAACATAGATGAACCTGGAGGACGTTATGCCAAGTGAAATAAGACAGACACAGAAAGACAAATACTGAATGATTTCACTTATTCAGTCATACCTTGGAGACATTGTGGATTCAGTTCCAGACCACCCCAATAAAGTGAATATCAAAATAAAGTCGGTCACACAAATTCCTTGGTTTCCCAGTGCATATAGAAGCTATATTTACACTGTAGTCTATTAAGTGTACGTATAAAGTGAACAGTGCCTGACATATGGCAAGCTCTTAGTAAAATTTATATTTTGTAACAACAATGAAATGGGATGAAGTTTCTTTTATGGTTTAAAGGACTGATATATTAGAAAGAGTACCAGTTTCCAAGTTGTTTTTTGTTGTTGTTGTTGTTCTCAAGTGTAGCTATAGATAAAAAATGCTAATAGGAAATTGACTTTAGAATTGAATGGATTTTCCATATGCATTTGTAGAAGATGGCCTGAAATTCAAAAATTAAAAGGCACAGGTCATAGTACAAAAAACTTCCAGTGTAATTCTGTATTTGCTCTGTATCTACTTAGAAAAGAACCTGAAAGAAATTTCAGTGGTTTTCAATGTCTGCTTTTATCATATGGTTAAGTTCTCTCATAAGACGTTCCAAGTTGTAATTGCACCTGCTTGGTGACCAGCTGCTACCCACCAACCCCATATGCAGTGCAGGACTGAAATGGCCCAAACTGCAGAAGAATCATCTGGGTTCATGAAATGGAAAAACTTCCCGAGGGCAAAGGTTAAAAAATGAGAATGGGCTGCCAAGAGAGTTTTTAACATCTGTTTTCCTAGGTCTTTCAAAAGTAATCAGCATAACACTGGCAATGAACAGGGATCTTCAATTGGAGGGTTAGTAGAGCTGGTGAGAAAACACAAATCCTTAAATAATGTACACCCATATTTGCTCACATTTGATGAGGAATGCCAGATTGTTCATTGTTTTTTACCAACACCATCACATAAATTTATCTATAATTGTTATATTACAGGGTATGGCTGTGGAGGGGAAAAAGAGACTCTGAATTTTACTCTATTTACATAAATATTATTTGGATCATTACAATGAACATGTATTATCTGTGTTTTTAAAAACTTCCTTTTTTTTTTTTGAGGAAAGATAGATTTGCTAAGGGAAAGACATGTTGTGAAGAGCACCGCAGGCAGGACAACAGTGAGAGTGCCTGTTGCAAAAACTTTGTTTTACTTTTTATTATTTTGTCTGTTTGTTTGTTTTTAGAGACAGGATCTTGCTCTGTTGCCCAGGCTGAAATGCATGATCATGGCTAAATGTAACCTCAACCTCCTGGGCTCAAGTGATCCTTTCACCTCAGCCTCCCAAATGCCTGGGCTACAGGCACATGCCACCTCATATCCAGTCAATTTATTTGATTTTTTTGGAAAGCTGAAGTCTCGCTGTGTTGCCTAGGTTGGTCTCGAACCCCTGGCCTCAAGTGATCCTCTCACTCTGGCCTCCCAAAATGCAGGGATTACAGGTGTGAGCCACCATGGCTGGTCTTCTGTGTTTTATTTTTATGTTCAGGACTCTGCAAGAAGATACATCTGATTCAAATCCTGGTTCCTACTGGTTATGTGGATAATGTGCCTTGAACCTTTGGCTAATTTCACTTCTCTGAGTCTCAGATCCCTTATCTGTAAAAGTGGAAAATACCAACCCCACAGGGCTCTCTCAAGGTTTACATACAGTTATGCTTTATGTAAAGCATACTACCTACCACACAGTATATGCTCAATAAGTCGAAACAGTTGTTATAAACCAAGCCAACTCTGTCCTACTGTCCTATTCTCCCTTGATTCCAATTGAAATGAGAGCTGAGAATCATCCCCCTTCACTCTACTGCTGCCTGAATCCATTCCTTTCAAATATTTTCCTAATGACAGTCCCACTGTAAACCCCTGTCTCTGACTGCAAGACTTC